GAAAGAGACATATTGCGTGACCAGCTGAGGTGAGTTAGGATTGCCTGGATACTGCCAGGGTTTTTGGGACTACCTCGATGATGAGGTTTTGACTATGAAACGTTTGGGGAGCAGGCAAGATGCTGAATTTGTGAAAGATGAAGAACTGTGCCAGATTAGAGGTAAAGAAGAAGGGTTAAGCAGTGGAGCAGTGGGCAAAAGCTTGTCTGTGTCTATTCAGACAGTCTATGCTCTAGAATCTACAAAACCCCTCAAATATTGCCACTTCCTTTTTTTTTTTTTTTGAGAGGGGTAGCAAATACCTGGAAAATAGCTGGCAACGTGTTTTATATGCCTGTAATGATGGTCTCTATGGAGAGAGATAGCTGACTATATTTAGTTACCTTATTAGCTCAAGCAATTAAGAGCCCTCTGGTTGAACTGTAAGAGGGTCAATATCCTGCCACAGAACAGGTATTTTGTTCTTATAAAAATAGAGGGAAAGACACCTGTATGCAGAGTAATACTAAAAGAACATTATTAGGACTGCAAAGATAATTAGTCAGAATTAGAAAAAAACAGAATTTAGATTTCCTGTACCATTTTAGTTAATTTCCTTTGTACCCGTGGGTTATGATAACCTTCAAATACCGTGTCTTCTACACTAGTTTAAAGAAAAGGCGTGTGTTACTGACTGTTGGCCTTTCTATCTTTGTGGTCTACTCCTCAACAACTTTTGAACTGACGTACTAATTTCAGATATGTTCGTGGTCTTAAAAGGTGATTATTATTTTTTCTGTGAAAACTGGAGCTTGGACACAATAAAGAAATCCAAATTACTGCTTTCACTGAGGCAAAAATAGGCAGGCTCAGCAGTGGTGGGGGCTTTTTGACAGCACTCTGCTGGCCCGTCACTGTGCATATGGACTTGTTGGCCTCCTTCTGTGTGAAGCTGTAACTCCTGCATACTGCCTTGTCCTGCACAATGAGTTATCCCATGGGAGAAGGAAAGGGTTGGAATCATTATCTTGAGGAAGAGGAAGGGGCATGTAAGAAGGCAAAAAAGGAAACATCCATTAGAAAAAACCTTGCCAAAAAAACCCCAACAGCTGTAAACCCTAAAGCCTTCTGAAATGTTCTTCAGAGAACTACTTTTTTCCCAAGTCCTTTAAATTGTTTGCTATTTTGCCTCTTCTGTGGAGGAATTCAGTTCATATTGTAGGTATTGTACTGATAAAAAAGATGCAGAAGTTGAAAGGTGCCTTGCAGATACTGTACAGATAAAAGATTCAGGAGCTGAAGAAAAGATGTAGGAGTTTAAGGGTACATTTCTCAAACAGGACTGTTTCTTAGTTAACACAGTGAATATGCTGCTGGAGACTCGTAATTTGTCTGGAGCTACTTGGAATGCTACTGCGAAGCATTGTTTTGCTTATAATTTTGTCATAACTGAAGTAAGGCTAGGTGGATGTGAACAAGATCTTTTCTGAGGGCACAATAGCTTTGCAGCTTGAGACCCCCTGAAATAAACAAGTCAGCATTTTTAATATTTTAGTATGATTTAATTTTAAAAGAAAGTTTGGGGAGGTTTTTTGATCACATATTTAAAGAACGTATTCAAAACTCAAATACAGTTCAAAACAGAATTGGTTTTCAGCCATTTTGTTTTCTAGATTTGTCCCTTTCTTAGATTCTCTGTATGCACAAGCAAGTAGCTGAACTGATCAATAAGAAGGGATTACAAGCATAGTCATGTTCTTTACTGTTATTAAACTTGAGAACCAGCTGACTACCTTACAGTAACAGGTAGTACCTGCTACAAATTTAGTGTGACCTGTGACTTCAGTACATAAAATTCAGCATAGTGCTCTGAAATAATTGAATCCAAGCCATATCAAACTTAAGTCCAAACATCAGTGGAAGTATTTAAGCTTTGTGCTTAATTCCTTATCTACAAAATGGAAGCAAAATATATTTTCTTACAACCTTGTTTTAAAAAAAAAAAAAAGATTTGGCATTTTTTTTGAGCATGCAGATACACTATTGATTTGTCATTAGGGAAATACTGAATGAGAACTGAGGAAATCTGACATTTGAAACAAAGTTTGAGTAGCGGATGTAAATAGATCACGATCTGACACTGAAGAATGAAGGTAAGACAAAATACTGACTTTGGTCTGTTCGTGTTGAGTGATACAAGACACCTGTAGACAGAAGAAAGGGAGAATATGTGATAAAGTATCTCCCAAGCACAAAAACCTGAGGTAAAGCTCACATTTCTGATATAGTCCAGGTTTCTGAGCCTGACCAGACCTTTTTTTGAGGTTGAATGTTTTAATTCTTTCACTTTAGGGATTTATCTACTTGGATATTGCATGCAAACATGTGGCTTAAGTAATCTGTTGTGTTTTGGCCTTAGGCTGATCAATTTACATGGTAAATTGTATAATGTGTTGACATTATGCTCTCTTCAGTACATCCAAATGCATCACAGTTTGTTAGCATGGACGGATTTCAGACTGGAACTGGTTTATATGTGTCCAGCCTGAGGCAAGGACAGATGATCACTGATCTTTGGAAATCCATGTTTATTTTAACAGATGTAGTGAGACTTACATGTGTTGCTCAATGTATACCAGCCAATAGGCCACTAGAAAAATTTCTGTAGTGGGTTTTAAATGTTGTATCTGCTCTTTACTTTGATCTGACCTTAACTCATAAGTATCTGCAGAAAACAAAAAAGTTCTTTTCTGTGCTTCAATGTTTTCATGTGTTTATTTTACAGATTACATTTATAGGTTTTGCTGAAGAGATGGGTACTGCGCGTTTGCAGGTACAGTATATATCTATGTTCTTCAGCACTGGTGATTTCTTCTTAGTAGTACATTATTTTTTAGATGGAGGAATTTTGGTGTTTGAAAAATGAAATGTGTACCTTGAGCATTTAAAAACATAAGTTTTGGTTGAAAAATAATTATTTTAATGTGATCATCAGTGTTTTATATGTATTTAAAATATTAGCTGGTCCAGTCTTCGTATTGGAATGGTCTGAAATAGCTTACTTACATTGAGGGGAGATTTGTTTTGTGGGGGGTTTTTTGGAATGGGTGGGGTGTTGTGTTTTTTTTTTTTTTGTTAAAAACCTGTGTATATCAGTATTTTGGTTTGTAACCTTCTTCTTAGTAGAATTGTGCTTGTTAATACGGTGCTATTGTCATCCACAAAGCTAAAACTTTACTGAATTGACTGCTAGCTGAGAATTGCTGGTGGAGGATCAGGACTGAGTATTATAGTTATGCCTTAAGATATTATTCTGGAGACTTAGATGAGGAAACATTATTTTAAAAGGTGAAGTGTCGGAAACTAGTGTGGTTGTGCCATGCCGTTTTAAGAAGTTAAGGATTTAATCTTCCTGTGCAATTTACACGTCGGTATAACCCATAACATACATGTTTACAGAGCAACTCCACACTTCTACTCTGTCTGGATCTTGGTAGCTAGAGATTGCTGTAATAGTTTTCTGATGTTTGAAAATGAAAAACAGAAACTCTCAAGCTATTTGTGTTCAAAGTTGTATCGATGTTGCCGATCAATCAAATGATGACAGTGCTAGACGTTTTTTCCAGTATAGGTGAGAACTATTTGGTTGTCCAGAGTCAGATGAAATTTAGAGAAAATTGGGCTGAATAGGTTTATTGAAACTTGCTTTGTATTATATGGATCAGTAGTGTTTAGAGTCTTTAAAAAAAAATCATAAATCTTTCATAAGCTTTTTCTATATTAGGTAGATGATGTTTAAGGTCCCTTTCCAACCCAAACCATTCTATGAAATACAAAAGTTGTCCAAGATCATGCTTGAAGAAGTGCCTTGTCCCTGCTTCTGTAATAGTAGGCTAAAACCGCATTCCAGTGAAGCACACTGAGAGCATGTAGGGATCCACTGAGAACCATTATTAGCTGAGTTCAGTCTTCTCTTTGTAGTTGCATACCTTGTCAGATGTGCAACTGCTTTTCAGTGCTTACAAGATTCTCCTTTGTGACTTTTAAACCTCTTCTGGCCCTTGAGAAACAATGGAATTTCTTCCATTGGTAGAACAGTGAGCTGGAGATGTGTGGAATGAATTAAAGCTTGTTTACATGAGCTTTACACCACAGTTCGAGAGAATAAGCTGGGGATGGGGCAAGGAATAGGGGGGAAAAAAAAGAAGCTTTACCAAATTTAGCAGCTGTTACTGTTTAGAGGGGATATGAGATCAAAGCTAATATCATTTGCATGTTATTTTTTTCACTTTGTATTCTCAATGTGTTTGTATATTTAAATCAGGAGTTGGCAGCTGTTTCTGTAGAGCTCCCAGATGTTCTGAAATCGCTCCAGTTGTGCAAACTAAAAGAAAACGAGGTTATATTTCTAAAAGATGTGAAGAAAACCTTGGAAAAACCTTACGCCATGAAACATCAGGTAAACATTTTGTATCTTCCTGCATGTCTTAATTACAGAAGCATTATATTTGGCCTTACAAAGAGTTTAGTCTTATCACACCTGATCTTGCCTGTGTTTTTGGGCCATCTTAGCTGTAGTAGTATTAGTTATATTTCTGTGGTTTCTTTAAAATGGATGTTAGAAAATCTCAAAATAAACTTGATGCTTTCAAGTACTGTATTATTAACTGAAAATATTTAACAAATGTTTAATCATGGTGCTGATCCCATACTTCTGTGAGATTATACTCCCTTTTACTGCCAATTTGGAAAGAAGATGAAACTTGTCAAGTTACCTATCTCTGCTCTGCTCAGGTATAGCTTTCATCCTCTGCAGACTTTTGTTCTTGAAACAGAGGTGCCAAAACTTATGAGAATGTCAGATGTTCATAAAACTCAGTGAACTCTTTTCTTATTAAAAATTATTTACAATTATAAATGTTAATTATATAAACTTCCATTATTTTTATTTCCAATATGATTCCATCATTACGTTGTTGTTCTTGTTAATTATATTATTTTCAATTATAAATGTTGTTAAAGCAAACTTCTTAAAGCCATATTGACTAATCATGTGTGTTAAATCTAATTATGTTGCATATAAGGTAAAAAATACCTTGAAGGAACAAGTAACCTCTAACCTGAAGTACTATTAAGCATAATCATACTTTGAAATACTGTCTTCCTCTGCATTTTTAACATGCATTCTTTAGTAGATTATTGAGTACGTATTACCAAGGTTGTATTACACAACTTTTTTTTGCTTGTTTTATTGCAATGATTTGTTCAGAATGCAGAAGTTACGAAAATGAGAAGTGATTTTACTATCACTCTACACACAAACTGTTCCATTCATTTTCTTATCTTAAAAATATTTGTAAATTGTTTACTGTTCATAAAAATGCATTGAAGGAATCTCTTGTTACTCTTGACAGTTGAAACCATTCCAAAGTTATGTTTGTTTTCTTGTTTTCTTGATTCTCTTTCAAGAATCAGCTTCCTGAAGTGTTTTGTGTGATGAGACTGTCTCCTTCATTCCCAAGGATCAAAGTTGATCATGTGTTTACCTTGCTAAGCAAGTATGCCACAGGCATAAGATACACAGTGGAAATAAACTCATCGCAAAAACAGCATACAGAGGCATCCCATGGAGAAGATGATGATACTAATCAGTCAGTTTCTTCAATTGAGGATGATTTTGTCACTGCTTTTGAACACTTAGACGAAGATGAGCCTTCAAAAATACAAAGTGCTGGTAAGTTCTTGCATGCTATTGGCTTGTGTAAATTGTCATTTGAAATGTAGGCTGTTGAGATTTCATGAGAAAGTAAATGTAAATAAATAGGAATTTTTTTTACATTAATCATGTTTTGTAAAGGCACATTATGCAATTGAAATTTTATTTTTTTTTTCTCTTCTTTTCACAACAGTTTATCAACTCATAAACCAAAGATGACCAATCTCAGTGTCAGGTGCAGATCAAATAGAATCTTGTTCTACTTTGTGTACTAAAAAATACATGAATTTGTCAGTGATTAGATTAGTATAATAGGATTTGAAACAAATGAAAGATTGCTTTAATCATAAAAGATCAGCTAGCATTTTGCAACAATAACAAGCCCAGCAATTGCCATCAAAATCTATCCCCAGTTTTCTGTTGTTCTGTGAAAACTCTTGGTTTTGAAGCAATCTTTTTTTTTTTCCTCCTTCTCCCTCCACCCCAGGTGCATGCAGCTTTACTTCTCAAAACTATCGAGATGCTGCTTCACAGACAATCCCTGCTCAATATTTAGAAGCTGTTGACTCAAAGATCCTTGTGGGTTCTGCACGTCGAAAGTCATCTGCCAGATCTTCTACTTTGATTGATATTTTGGGACTTAAGGAACTGTCCTCAGTAAAAAATTCCGTTACAACCTCAATTTCTGATCCTTGGATACAAAGGAGTTTCTATAAGCCATATAATCCTTCTGATCAAGGTGTTAATTTTTTACGTAAAACATTATTTTCCTCCTCTCCAGCTGAATCCTCTGAGTCAGATTGCTCCAGCCCAAGCCCCATCATCTTCTTAGATGAAGAAGGGTATCAAAAAAGCTTGAAGGCAAAACTTCAGCTGCCAAAAATTCCAGTAGTGAAAGATGGTATAGAAGATTCAGACTCAGAAGTAAGTGAATTTTTTGATAGTTTTGATCAGTTTGAGCTGGAACAAGCCTTGGAAAACTCTTGTAAAGTTATTAGGGATCCCATCCTGGGGAATCCTGCCCAGAAAAGGAGGACTGCACATGAAAAATTGTCTTCTGCAAGTGTTGCAATGAATCCTCAGAAATTCAAGTTTGAACGTCCTGCTCTCCCAGCCAATGTAAAGAAACCAACTCCTCGTAAACCAGAATCACCATACAGCAGTGTCTTTGATGTCCCGGATTCTCCTCGCCCAGTGAAAACATCAGGGGAAGAGAACGGAGGCTTGTTCAGCCCTATTAGATCATCAGCTTTCAGTCCACTGGGGAGCTGTGGTTCTTCTGAGTGCTTATGTCGAATTAATCTTGGTGGCGATGGGACAGGTCAGAATCACAATGATGCAGTTTATAATAGTTACTCAGCATACGCTGATAGTGTTTCTTTTGAAATACTGGGTTCTGTTTTTCATTCTGAGTCCTCATCAGAACAAGTATGTGCAGGAAGGGATTTGAAACACGAAGGGATTGCTTTGAAAGAGAAAAAAGATGAAGCTGCAGATCTCGAAATGAAAACTGGTAAGGAGCCAGGCAAACAAGCAAAATCTAAACATAAGTCATTGATGATTAGAGATAGCATTCAAAAATTTGCAACTGAATTAGTTGAAAAAAGTTTTGGCAGTGCATTTAAAGACCTGCAAAAAGGTGTTTCTTCATGCACCAATGCACTTTGTCATTTGGCTGCTAGGTTGACTTCTTCGATCTTTCAGATGGCTTTTTATGAGATTGGAAGACGTAGAGCAATCTCCTTGAAGGAGCGTGCCATTAATGGGATAGCAAACTTTTTGGTGAGCGAAGCTATAACCGGTGCTTTGAAAGAACTGCGGCACGTAAAGAAGCAGATATTTACTAACACTGTTGCACGGTTTGCGGCGGACCTTGCTGAAGAGCTTGTATTTGAAGGAATCATGGAAGTATGCCAGTTTTCGTATCCGTCGACACCTACAACTGCACAGCCTTCATCATTTGATTATGAAGACAAAGTGGTAAGATCCTATGCCAGAGATTTGTCTGAATCTGTCATTCAGGAGGCTTTTATTGAACTATCTCAGGTTGATGTGACCTTCACAACACAAGCAGCCATTAGTGTTTCCATGGACAACATTAAATATGTGAGCTCAGAAAGTATGTTAGAGTCAACACAGACTTCTGCAGTTTTTCCTAATTTTAGTGATAGGGTAGCACTGAAGCCAATCCAAGATCCCAAGAAGGAATACACAGTACAGCAAGCTCTATTTTGCACCTCTGGTGTTATAAGTTCAATACCTGTGCCCTTAGCTGGAAGAGCTCTTTGTCAACATCAGATTTCCTCTGATGCTTATAAAGCAAAAGTACCCACTGCTCCAAATTCTGATGACAACATGAAAATACACAAAGACTCCACTCATCCGTTTTTCTCAAGCAGAAAGAGAGAGGAGAAGGTCGCTTCTTTCAGAAATATCTACCTAACTTCAGATCACAGTCAAAGTACTGAAAATACTCCATCGCTGTTGCATAACCAAAATGATACCAAACAAACAAATAACAGATATGCAACGAACAATAATTCGGAATTAACAAGCGGGTCAAAAGGCATTAATACTTTCTCTGGAACTATGGTAGATATGATAGTAAATGAAGCTTATGAAGCCATAACTTCATCTAGAGTAACAAAAGCAGTAGAAGAGTATACGGATTTTTTAACAAGGAAAATAATAGATAGAAAACCTTATGTGCAATGTATTGGTGAAGACGCCCCCAAAAATATGTTTGCAGATCACTTGGCCAAGTATGTCGTAAAACAATCTGTGGATGAAAGTAAAACTATGTTATGCACCACTAGTGACAATTTAGCATGTAACATGAGCTCACAGACTTATACAGATATCAGTAGAAAAGAACAATGTGTGATAAAGAAGCAAGAGGCTGAGAAACAAAGTAATGCTTCTGTAATTGTGGAACAACAACAAATGCCTTTGAATAATCCATGTAAATTTCCTCTTACTCCATCTCATTCTGTTCAGTGTTTTTCAGAATCTAAAGATTACTGGCAGGAACAAAAAGGACACAGGTTTTCTTCAAAATCACCACCGCTCTGTTCCACTGTGACTTGTGCTAGGCATGTTCTAGAGGACTTTACTGACACAGGAAGCTGCTCAGTAACGTACTTAAACAAGCCTTCAAAAAACCACGACACTCAGAAACCATCACCAGGAGCTTTGACTTACAGGCAGGCTGATTGTTTTCTGCATGCAAATAGCTTTTCTTCAGTGATGTTTGGCAGTGAAGATGCTTTGCAGGTGGGAGATAAATCGAGTCTCAAAGATGGAAATACCTGTGCAATGCCCGATACACCCCCACCAACTCCTTTAGTGCCATGTCAAGGTAGTTCTGAAAGAAATCTAAGAAAACTGTCTAAGAAACTCAAGGGAGAATTAGCAAAGGAATTTGCACCTGCAACACCACCTTCTACACCGTACAATCCATCCGTTGCTGGTTCGTCTGAAACTGAACGTTACTCTTTGGGAAATGAGGAATTTATGCTGAAACTCATGCGGTCACTTTCCGAAGAAGTGGAAAGTAGTGAAGATGAAGATCGTTCTGAAATGCCGATTGAGAAAGAGGAGCGTTCGGAAAAAACAGTTCAGTATGCAGATTGCTTAGCTAGGCATATAATTTCAATAGCGACTGAAATGGCAGCTTCCCATTTAGATGGTAAAACAATCGAAAGAGAATCTGATAGACAGGTTCAGTTAGGTATGCAAAACAAAAGGTGCGGAGATACTGCATTTGTAAATATCCCAGAAGAGACATGCAGTTCTTTATGGAATTATGCAGGTGATATGGCAGGAAGAGTCATCAACGAGGCCAAGAAAATAGTGAAATCAAGACATTGTAAACTGTTGAGGTTGAAGCGAGTTAACTGTCAGGTGGATTGCCTTTATCTGAGAAAAGGTGATAAAGATTACGGTTCAAAAGAACGGTGTGGTCCAGTGCGGGACCAGTGGCTGGGGGAGAGAGATTCATCCGTGCTTCCTTTACCACAAGGTTCAGGCATGACAGGTTTGACTTCCAAATACCCAAGCTGTGAAAGCGTGACTGATGAATATGCAGATCACATTATTCGAGTTTTGAAAAGGGAAGGTGGTAATGCTGAACTGCTAATGGATCAGTATGCTAGCAGGCTTGCTTACAGGTCTATCAGATCAGGCTTGCAGCAAGCTGCTAGAAAAAACAAATTGAGATACCTCAGAAAGACACTTCCTGGGCAAAACGCACAGGTAAATGGTAAGCTGGAGCTCATCAAAGCAGTGACTAAAGATGCAGCGCAGCAAGTGAAAAGCAACATTCATCTCTGTGAAGACCAACCGTACGAAGGGAGTATCGGCACACGGAGAACAGAATGCCCAGAGTTGTTACGTTTTTCAGAATCCCTTGCTCGCAGTATCACTTGTGACGTGAGGAAGAAATTGAAAATGTCGGGAGCATGTTTGCCAAAGTCCCTGACAGATTCCTGTCTGTATAAAAAGACTGAGTTTGATGAAGTCACAGGGGATCTTATTAAACCGAGATTTTCTAGGACATTTCTTCCTTTCTCCCCAGATCATAAACTGTATCATAGTACAGGCAGTTTAAATGAAGATGGCTACAGTGAAGGCATAATTCAAGCTATAGAACAATATGCTAGGAAAGTAGCAGATGATACTCTAGAAATGAGTTTAGAATCGGCTGTTCTCCATGTGGCTGAAAACAGAAAAAATGGGGATAGGCTCTCATATACTGAGAAACTGTCTCCGTTTTCTGGAACTGTCTGTAGATGCTGCAGCATGAAGGAGCATCGGTGCTGTACAGAAAGTACGTCTCATCATCTGCCTGTGCAAGAATCGTCCATTCCAGTGAGGCATTTTCTTCACTCTGGATTAGGTGGTGCCTGTCAAAAATCAAGAGTGTTTCAGCTTGATATTCCTAAAATTCATGTTGATGTAGAACAGAAGACAGTGTTTTCTGACAAGGGGGCTACTGCAGCTGTAGAGAAAGCAGGAGAGCTGAGTTACACAAGCCTCACAGCTGACAGTGGTATTGGACAAGATGGAGTCAGTTTTGCTGAAAGCCTTACTACTGAAATAATGACATCAGCTATGACTAATATTGGTCAGGCAGTTAACATAAGGTAATATTAATTTTCTCTCATTTATTGCATTTTGTACCAGAAAAAGAAGGATTGTTCATACAAAGATGTGTTCAGAAGGACTTTTTTTTTAAAGACATATGTACTTTATATTCTGAATGTTTTCTTTTTATTCTTCTTGTGATATTTAAATGATTCAGAACTAGAAAAGAGTTTTTTCCACGTGTGGGAGCTTGAAACCAAGGTTTCTAGATATATCAACATACATATGTTCCAGTAGGTGACTAATAAGCAGAACTTATTAATTCAACTTGAAATGCTGTTATTTTTACCTAAAATTGAGAGTAGGAGACCGTAAAGGTTTTGTTGTCTGTGAGCCATGACAGAATCCAGGTTTGTTACCTACCAGCATTTCCTCTTCTGTGCTAAAAAATACAAATAATTTATTTTTGCTTTTGTCTGTAGGACCAACATGTGATACTGGCCAAGCTAGCCATTGCTTTATAGTATGAAGGTTTGATTTTGATTATAACTGTGTTGTCACAGTGGCCTTGTTACTGGAAAAACATCCCTTACTTTAAGAAAAAACAACCTACTGAAACACATTCTAGCTTATAGGATAGTAATACAGTAGACAAGGAAGTGAATTTCAAATTCTTGTGTGTTTAGCAAAGGCTAATATTCTGTTTCCTTGACTAGGTGTGTAAATAGGAAATACGTGCCACAGTAACTTGGGGCAAAAAGCAGCCCTTTCTTAAAACAGACTATGCAGTGATCAGAGTGTCTTGAAATCTCTTCTTCAGATCCAAGAGCAATCTTTACCATGTTATTTTTTCCAGTCTATAGTAATATTGATTTTCCTACTTTTTTTTTGTGGGGGAATTCCTCACAATAGCTGAAAGTTTCTTTTCCTGGTTTCTAGAGGAGCATCATGATGAATAATAAAATTGATTTTTCTATGTTCATTGGCTAAAGGCCACAGTGGGACTGAATTAAATTTGTCAAGGTTTGATATGAAATACATACATATTAGCTTCTGCTCCATGGATGTGAATGGAAGTTTTTGTTTTGTGTGTGGGGGCGATGTTTACAGAGAACTGTAAGATCTGTTTTAATTTTTATGACCTTTCAATGCAAGCATTCAGCTGAAGATTCTAGCAGTATAAAAGTGCTAATAAGATGTATATTGTGTGTCTCTGCACAACAGGGTTGAGTCCTTACTCAGTGTGTGACAAAAAAAAAAGAGAGTAGTGTGGTGGTATTTTTCTATACCTACAGTATCAAAGATGACACTTTTTCTGAATCAATACTTAAAAATATTATTTAAAATTTCTAGTTAGAATATGACAGCAATGAAATGCAGCGTTCAAAGAGATACTGTTTATATCTGTGGCAAGCAAACAATGTTAGAATTTTAACACGACAAAATTTATAAATGTTTCTTACATCATCATTTAGTATATGATACGTAATGATAATATTCTTGAGAAGCTGTCTCGTGTGGTGAAAAGAACTGTTGCTAGTGCTGGTATAACTGTAAATAAAACCGGGGAAATATCCGGTATTATTACCCAAACGGGTTCAAGTTCAAACAGTTAAACTGTTTATTCAAAGCTACAAATTTGTCTGCGAAAAGTCACGTGATTGAGGGTGGCTTTTTAAATAGTGAATGTTACAGCGGCTGCTTGCTATGGTAGTAAAAGGATGATCATTTTTCTTGGACTTTCTACCGCTTCTGTATAGAGATAATCACAGTTTGCCCCTGAAACTTACTTTATAACTGCGTGTTCTCATATTGTAACTATTTTTATAAGGAGTCCAGGCTTCTTTGAAGTTACCAAACTGGATCTTTTGGAGTGTCTTCTAAAGACTAGCTTTTATTGAGCATACCCGCTCAATTATTTTTGGGTAAAAAAATGAAATTTATTTCCTGAGCGAAAATTTCTGTACAAGTCATGCGTTGCTACCCTTTCTTGGAGCAGGAAGACCAATCTCTGTCTACGGAAAGACCTTTTCAAAAAGTGGAATCCTGACACTTTAAACATCCGCATATACTTAAGCACTTTGCCTACAATAGCAAACCACTTAGCTGTTTGTGCCAAAAGCAGGCAGGGGACAATAGCCAACCTGTCTTATGGTGAACAAGTTCAAAAAAGGTAAGTCTTCTGCTTGAAAGATGGACCTTGATACAGAGTCTGCACAGCTACAATGCCTTTTATGCTTTACAGCAAACAGTCTTCCAAATGGGAGAATTATTTGTGCCGTTCCCTTTGTCTTCTAGTGAAAGAATTCCAAGTAGCAATCCCTGACCTAAGCCTGTTGAAATTTCAAATTCACTTGGTTGCACCATTTCTTGTGTTGAGAGTAGGGTATGAATTAGTGATTTCCTGCTTTTTTGTTTCCCCCTTTGGAATTTAGTGCTCTGAAATGATGTTAAATTGCTGTAAATGAACTGACACAGATTGGCATAAAATGTAGTGATGTTTTTGTCTTAAATTTTTGTTTAGCTCTGTTGGAAGAGAAGGATTTCACTCTGTTGAATCTATTGTTAGCCAGCAGATGAGTCTTAGTATTGGTGATGATAGCACTGGGAGTTGGTCCAATCTAAGTTTTGAAGATGAGCATCCTGATGAGAGCAGCAGTTTTCTTCACCTCAGTGACAGGTAACTATTAACATGTTAGTGTAGTTAAACACTTACCTTGGCATCAGATGTTGTTCTTCTGGGGGTTGGAGGGCAAGAGATTATTTTGTCTTCAACACACAGACTTTTTTATTAAAAATGGCTCTAATATTATGTTTGTGTTTTCTTACAAAATGTTGTTGCCCGTGAAATGTCATACTATACATTCCATAAATTTTGTGGAGTGTGCATTGTCATTGATGTTAGGGAGTTGCATCAAATAAAACTGTACCGATATAGAATCACAGAATGGCATAGGCTGGAAGGGACCTCAGAGGTCATCTAATCCAACCTCACTGTCATGGGCAGGGACGCCTCTCAACTAGATCAGGCTACTCAAGGCTCCATCCAACCTGGCCTTGAACACCTCCAGAGAGGGGGCATCCACAACTTCTCTGGGCAATTTATTCCAAAGTCTTACCACCCTCGTACTGAAGAATTTCTTCCCAAGATCTAATCTAAATCTGTTCTCCTTCAACTTAAACCAATTTCCCCTTGTCCTATCAGTGGACACTCTTGTAAAAAGTCCCTCCCCAGCCTTCCTGTAGGTTTCCTTCAGGTATTGGAAGGCAGCTATTAGGTCTCCCTGAAGTCTTCTCTTTTCAAGGCTGAACATATAATTTAAATATTAGCAAAGATGCAGGTGTTTTTTTTTTTAAAACATCCGATGTATAAAACACAACTTGAAAGTAGTGTTTATAAGTTGTGCTCGGAAATATTAAAACTTAATAATTGAGAATGTGATTTATGTAAATTCATCTATTCTTGAAAAGAAGTAATGCTTAATTTGCATGAGGAGCTTTAACAGCTGTTTTGTTTTTTTTTTTTGGGAACTTCATTTTATAAGCTGTTCTAACTTCTATTGGTGGAGTACTTATGTACTAATGACAAACTTACAAGTGTCTAATATTAGAACTTACCTGTTCAGGGTAGTAACTTTTGCCACAGAGCATCTCACTACAGTACCCCTGGCTGATTGGTAACTAACAAAAATTAGAATGGGAGTTTTAAAAAATCTGCAATGTCTCTACCTATTGCCAGGGAAAATTTAAATTGAGAGTTGTGGCCCGAGCTTCTATATAAGAAATAGATGAGGAATAAGTAATCTTAGTTTTTTGATTGATACACCACTTATGTTACTGTGCAACATTCAGTGTTTCTGTTGAAGAGCAGCAAAAACTGGGGAGAGATTTCTTCTTTTTAATTAGTACTTCCAGCATCACTGACGTTAAAGAAAATATGGGAGATATGCTTCCTTATGTAATAAGTGGATTGTTTGTTAGGAAAGTGAAACTGCTCACTTCAACATCTACTGTATTTTTCATGTTTTGCTTAACTAAATATTTTAATCAAACCACTGGTATAATTTATCACTCATACAACTGAATAATTTTGTAAGATAATACATTAGCTTAAAGCTATTTTACTAAAACATTATGAATGACAATGAGTTAGACTTACATGATGAAATTCACAGTATAATATTCAGCACATAAGCAGTTACAAATAGTGAATAAAATATAGGCTAGTTGATGCTGGAAAAAAAAAGTATTAAAAAATTGCTGGACCTGTAGTGCTCATATTGTATTTGTTGCTTGTTTTCATTTCAGTCTGTTTTGGGGATGATAAAGAAATGTCTATTAACTTGCAAGAAAATCTGTGGCTCATTAGAGGAGGAATGAGCTACGTTAGCATTTAGCTCAGAGAAGGGGCGGCGTAATTCCGATAGCAAGGTGTAGGCAGAAGAAAGCGGCGTGCATGAACTGATGAGCTAGCTCTACAAAGCTGACCGTGTCTTGGTAGCAGCACATGGGTTCGTTTGTGTTGCTGAGCTTTAGCAGGTGGAAATGACAGGATCTGGGGTTATTGCCCTCAGTAAAAAGGCACAGGGCAGGGGAGACCTTTTGTAACAAAACAAGATTCGGTCATAGCACCGTTTGCGAAACACCTTTGGCAGATTCTAAGGAAATAAAAATTTGCATGGCAGTGATGAAGATGTATGGTGTTTATCTCCTCTTTTTAACATAAACTGTTTTATTAAACAGGAAAAAGCCATTCAGTTATAGAAGAGCCATTCATTATGCAGTTACAGCAGTTGGAAGTGGGTGGTTTTTTGGTTTGGTGGGTTTTTTGTCCTTTTTTTTTTTTTCCTTACAGTCAGGGCCATCTGTTTAAAAAATACTGTGCTGATTGTCTGTAAACCCTGTCAGTTTGAAACATCTAAATGTACTGTCAGGTAACGCTGCTCCCCTGGCAGCTATTTCTTAATGCAGGTGGCTTCCTTGTGTCTGAGAAGCTGCCAGCAGTCTTTCTTGCACCATCTTTGGGTTACTAGGTATCATTAGATCAATTTGTTCATAGTGCTGGTACAATATAATTAAGTGACATAGTGAACATTAAGCAAGTTTTACTGGTGGAGGAGGACTTCTCCCTTCTCCCAGTATTTTCCAAACTGTTTGCAATATTTGATGGGTACTGATACTGGAGATTTCCTTTAGCTGACATTTTGCAAGTTATCTTCATAATAATAATCCTAGAGATTGCATTCACAGTAGTTGAATTTTTTTTGGAACATAGGATCGCATTCCCTAGAAAGCAACGTAACAATACAAGCTGCAGTGGTCCAGTTCAATTTTACTTGCTTCACTTTACTTCAGGGAAAAAAAAGATATTTTATTTTTTTTTTAGTAGCTCTGTTGAAACAGTACATGCCCTCTGTGTCTCAGATCAATATAAAAATTGTACTTCAGTATTTCACAGAGGATTAAACTATCTGTAAACAAGGGAGCAAGACAACTTGTAAAGAATCATCAAAGCATGATCCCTGCAGTTCTATTTGAATGGAAATAGAAATGAAAGTTCTTTAGTAAAGAACTGGTGAAGTTAGTTATGCAGAGCAGTGCTTGTATCATCTGCTTTGCATGCCTAACAGTGTTTTATTTCTAAATTTAAGTCCCTAGTCTTCAGCTTTCTCTATAGGTAATGTATAGGTGTAGGCATAGACACAGGCTTTTCCGGGGGAGAATCAGAGCATCCAGGTTAGGTTATAATTCAGAGCAGAAGCCTTGTGCCTTTGACTGTGAGTATATAACACAGAATCTCGAAGCAGATAATCTCAGTTATAGCTCTCATATGTACAGTATATTTATAAAATTTGAAAGCTTTTAATTCTTCTGCTAACTCAAAGAGTTGCATGAAGCATTATAGAAGCTTTATAATGCCTCTGTTTATTGGTTGTTCTGTGGTTGCAGGACTTTATTTTCAAAGAAAACACTTTCTACATTGAAAGAGGCTGTTTGAGTGCAAAAAATCTTTTTTTACATATAATTCAAACCAGATTTATAACTTCATATGTACCGTGATAGTCTCACACAGTAGCTTGAGATGTTTTTAAGACCAGATTTGCATTTTCTGTGCAAGTCAAGCTGGTTTCTTTGGAAGCTTCTGTTCTTTAATTTTCTTTTTTATTTTTTGCATAGTGAGAGAACTGTTTGATTGTGCTTTGCACATGCAGTCTAAATAAGCATGAATGAAGCACCTGCAACTTTTTAATGTTCTCTCCCCTCCTGCCCCCTTTGGGTGTGTTCATATTGCAGGCTTGCTAACCTGCTGTTACTGTTTCAAAATTAGGATTACTGGCATACTGGGAAACAAAGGACACTCATAGGTGATGCTGTTACTGGCAGACTCTTGAAAGAAATTAAAGTGTCTCTTGAAATGTTTCTTTCCACCATTTGTGGTTTTAAATTTTACTATTTGCCTTGACTGGAAAAGAAAAGCTTTAAAAGTCACACAAAACTTAGGTGAAGAAAGCATCTTCTTGCAGCAGTTGTTCTCTGGAGTTGCTTCATGGCTTCTCATACTGTCTGTAGCAGACAATCTAGCTTTCTCAAAGAATGTTGGTTATCTTGAAATCCTGTTCTTGGAAGGCTTCCAGATTTGCTGTGGGGGAGGTGTGAAGTTGGGGAACAGAGGTTTATTTAATCATATGAGTAGCTCAATCTTGTACATAAGCACAGGATTAACAAACTGCTAATTATAACACCTAAAGTGTACTGGTGCAAGGACATGCTCAATTTTTTCAGTTCTTTGCATTGGCTGGAATGTAGTCATGGAATAAATGCAGTAAGTTTGAGCTGTGAGTGAAGTAATCTTTTTAGTATTCTTTTCACGATATATAAACCCCCCCTATTTTTATCAGAACAGCTTGTAGAATTGTATTCAGAATTTAAAAAAAAATTATTTGCTCTAAGAATTCTTTCTCATCAGACTGTTGGAGATCATTACTGGATTTTTGGAGTGAGATGGAAGGATTTTATTTGTGCAGTTGTCTTCAGTGTATAATTTTATGAACTCTTAGCTAGTCCTTAAGCAAATGTTATAGTTGTAACCCATATTCCTATGAGTAACCATATTGAAATCATTGAGCTTATATAAGCAACGAGCAATGTGCTTAGACCTAAGGACAGAATTACTGCTAGCACTGATCCAGAAGATTAGTGAGTCAAATTAATACTTTCACTTGTGTACTGAAACTTACCAGTTTTGCATTGCTGTGCACATTGCTGCTCTGAATAGCACTGACAATCGTGTTTTATACTCTGTTCCAACAAACCTGTTGAGGAAGTTTCAGTGCTTTTGCATTAAATGTCTTGACAAAACAGCTCTAAGGAAAATGAAGGTTCTAGTTTGAGCTATTGTTCTTTTCTAGTTCAGCTGTGTTCTCTTCTTCTCCTGGCAGTAATGGTAACAGCAGTAGCTGGAGCAGTCTTGGTTTAGAAGGGGATATGTATGAGGAGAATTTATCCTTTCCAACATCAGACAGGTTGGTTGAGTTGAGAAATATAAACCAGATGGGTTCCTCATAATTAATGCATGAAATTATCATTTTGGAAAACAAAAATGCGGTGCTTTTTTTTTTTATGCTGATACATTATTCACACTCTTCTCACTTAATCACAATATGATTTTTTTCATTAATTAATCCATACTGAATGGTTAAATTTTGCTGTGCTAAACTGATGAATGTGTTCTGCTTGCAAAATAAAAGGGCCCTTTTGTGCATGTTCTTGCTTGCACTTTTACGAGTCCTTAGATTTACTTCTTCATGCAAACTAGAGCTTGCTTCCTACAGGATTTCTGTTTTTTCCTTTAGCTTGTGGAAACTTTCAAAATTGCTTGTTAATTGGTTTTTGTAGAACAGTTATGACTTACAGCTTTGAATAATCTATAGCTGTTCATACCTGTGACATAAGATGGCATGACCTTTTCAGATATGAAGCAAAACTAAACTGTCCTCCTTAATTTAAATGAGTAAGTTTTCTTTTTAAACTGTCTTCATATTACAGTCTTTCTTTTTAA